CCCCCCCCCCCCGGCCGGTTCTCCTCCCACTCCTCGATAGTTCTGGAAACTGTATCACCTCTCGTCACAGGAAACCATCCAGCAGGCGGTAGCAAACAAACAAACGCCCTCTGGCCCCCACCCGCCGGAGAGGAGACGGCGAGGGGGAAACACACCAATGTGGATGGAGGTGGTTGGTGCGAACGCACACAATACCGATCCCCGCCACAAAGGATGCTGAAGAGGGAGGAAAGAGAGGGGTGGTGGTGGTGGTGGCGGGGATTCCAGACGAAAAACGCTCCGGCTACGGCATCTGGCCAAAAAATGGAAAAAAAAAGACTTGAGGATGGGAAGTCACAAAACCTAAGGCGATGGGAAGGCTGGGAAACACACACAGAGAGAAAGAGGCGGCCTTGTCTAATTTCACCAAAGGGCTTGATCTCGGCTGGCAACTCTCCACGCCTCCGCTAAAGGCTGGAGGGGGTGGGTGGGCAGAAGACGGACCTTTAGGTGGCAACGATTTTGAAAACATCGCCACCAACCTCCTTCCCCCTCTCCTCGTGCGGAGACTGGAAATCGACCCTGACTTCCGTCCGTGAGGAACTAGACCCCGGGATATACTTTGCAGCCTCCTTTCATTGTCCTCTTTCACGCCTCTGCGATATTCAGCAACGCCAATTCGCACCATCGGGGCGTTTTTAAGCGGGTTATCCGACTGCGCCTTCTGACGTTTCTCGTATGAATGTATTGCATAATCGGCCGCGCCTGCCTGCGCCCGTAGGCTTTGGCCGGGTTAGCGGAGGAGGCAACGGCGGGGTTGCCCAACCGGCAGCCGGCATCGCCTCTGCGAAAGTAACGGCACCAGCCCTTACTCCTCGAAAGCAGCCGGCACCTCTCTCTGCCGCTAGCGGCTATGGATACAAAAGAGACCCGAAGGCAGAGCCCTTCTTCTCCCCCCCCTCCACCCCCCCCCAAACTGCCCTCGTCCTCTTCTCGACTGATGGGCGCTTGGAAAAGTTTGCACCCGCCACCTGCGAGCGTTTGCGCTGGCACCACAACCGGGGCAGGGCTTGAAATTGCTCCGTTCGTTGCAAAATTAAGAGGGGGGGGGAGAGGGAGAGACCCAAGAGACCACAGAAAGAATGGAGAAGTTCAAGCGGCTTGTGCTGACGCCGTGCACCTGCCTGCCCTCTCGCCCGGGCGCCTTAGCCGCCAAGCGCCACCGGACGCGAAAGGCCCGCCTCCTGACGCGCGAGCAGGAGGGAGAGAGGGAGGGGGCCCGAGGGGAGGGGAGGGGAAGCCAACGCATGTAGCAAATGAGGCTGCTCTGAAGGGATTCGAATCCCAGGGCAACATTCCACATTCCATCCTTTTCCCCGCATTAATCATCCACGCCAGCGGCGGCGGCAGGAGCAGCCTCGTAGAGCGCCCAGAGAATCTGCTGCCACCCAGCAGAAAAGCAGCCCAACAACAAGACCCGCCGCTCCTAACACGCCACACACCCCTTGTTTTTACGATATCCGCACGCTCACACTTCCCTAACACGTGTACTTTCGGGGTCTCACCACTCGGCTTCCCCCGCAGAGGTGAAGGGAGGGAACGTTCACTATATTTGACAGTGGCGGTTCCCTCCTGATGGTGGGAAGAGATTTTTATTTCAGGACTCAGGGTGCCTTCTGACAGCGGTTCCACCCTCCCCGGGGCTGCCGCTAACCCCACAATGCTCCGGCTCTGCACTAAGTTTTCACCGTAAGGCTTGCAAAATGCAGACTTTTGCTCAACCGGCCGGTCCGCGCGTTCTGTACAAGAACTGGAAGCCCTCATCGGGGCGTTTTTAGCGGGTTGTCCAACTGCACCTTCTGATCATCGGTTTTATAACGGGGGGGGGGCAGCATTTACAGTATTTGGCAATCTGTTGGCTTCCACCCTCCTCCCTCCCCTTTCATGCGCCGAAGACCTCCTGCCCTTGAATTAACGCAACGAATCTCCGGGACATGTGGGTGACACGGCAACAGCTCCTCGTTCCCTCGTGGCCCCTCCTCTTTCCCCCCCCCCAAAGCTTCCTAGAGATCTCGCGAAGAAGGACCTGGGCTCTGCTATTGCCATCTGTTTCCCAAGTTGTTACAATGCTTTCCCACTTTCCGCGTAGAATCGATTCACCCTCCAGCATGGATGCGCTTTAGGGTAGCCGGCCCCCCACCCACCCCCTCTTTACCGCCTTACCGACAAAGAAAAACTATAGCAAAAGTCTCTGGTTGCCTTACAAAACAGCATGCCGGGCTGGAAGGAAAATACAAATAATAATAATAATACTAATCCACGACGGAGTTCATTCTTCTAGGCCCTCTAATCCTCTTCCCCCCCCCCCTTGTTTGCCAAAAGCAAAGTCTGCAGCGGCATAAAAAGCAGCCAACCTTCAACTCCCTCACTCCTCCTCTCCCCAATTCAGATCCGCTCTAAAAAAAAAACCTCTCAAAAATAACCTTAATTTTTTTTCTCCTTTCTTCGCCCCCACACCCCCCGCGTTCCTCCCCAGCAATGCACAAGTTGCTTATGGGATAGCGAAGCTTGCGCCTAAACTGCCTCCCCCTTTTTTCGCTCCCTATCAAGAAGCAAATCTTTTGGCGCCATATTAATGACGTACTATATTATTTCCACTAGGCAGCGACCTTCGGCATTAAATTGCTCTCGAGCTGCTGCCGCCGCTGCCGCTGTTTCGGGAGAACTCCGAAGCTAAGCAACCAACCGACAGACCGAAGGGGAAGGGAGGAAAGAGGGAGAGAGGGGGGGTGAAAAAAAAAAAGAAAGAAACCGCACAGACACACGCGCGCACACCACCCACCGCTACTCGCACCCCCCACACATCAAATATGGCTGTGCAAAAGGCGGCAAGGCTCGTTCTGCGGCGGCGGCGGCGGCGGCGAGGAGGGCGCGAGCGCGTCAGGGGAGCTCGCCCGGGCACAGTTACCTGCTGCTGCTGCTGCTGTTGCTGCCGTGATGGTTGCCAGCGAGGTGGGAGTTTTCTCTCGGCGCGAAGGGGTCCGTGCTGCCTCATGAGTTCAGACGAGCCCCGGAGAGTGGGAGCAGATTGTGGCTCCCTTCGCGCGCGCACACACACAGACACACACACACTCGCACGAACACACAGACTCTCTCTCGCACATATACAGAGAGCGAGCGAGCCAGACTCTCTCGTTCGTTCTGACTGACGTTTTTACTTGTTATGGAGGAAGGACTCTGTGAATCAAACTCATTTCTGGGTCACTGCTACCACAGGGGGGAGCTACTTTAATCCCCTGCCAAAACTAGCGATCGGGCAGCCGGGGACCCCCCTCTGGGAGGAGGAGGAGGAGGAGGAGGGAAGAGAGAGCGAGAGCGCGACTGCTGCACTTGGAAACTGTCTGTTTTAACTCTTTGCAGGCCCGCTGAGCAGAAGATGTCATGCTCCATTTACACTGCCGGGGGTGGGTGCGGAGGGGAGAGGAGGAGGAGGAGGCTCGCTCTGTTCCGGAGATTTTGCACCGAGGGATCTGCCTTCCTTGGAAAGGAAGGATAATTTCACGCAAGGGAACGGCAGCCAAGGGATTTGGGTCACGCATTTTCCCAAATTGTCAACGGCTTGAAAGGAGAAGTCCTGCTGGCTGCCACCTGGGCAGGCTCGCGCGCTAAGCCGGCTCGGGCAAGGACGCGCCATTGCCGGGCGACAGGCAGACAAATGCACACGTACGCACATGCCCATCTTGACTGGGATGGCGAAGGAAGGGGGCGACACGCCAAAGTAGTAATGGAGAATCCAGAGGCAAATCTGTGGGAGACATGTCGTTCTGTCCTTCGGGTGGGCTGTAAAACCCGAAGGGGACTTCAAAACATTTGAATGGAGAAATTCTGCATACGGGGAAAGGGACGCAGTTCTACTTACTCAGCCCGATAGCCTATAATTTCATAATTATTTCTATTGATATGGTTGCTTTGCTTTTTCTTTATGCTGAGTGATGCCTGTCAGTCCAAGGTGAGGAATCAATGGTAGGGAGCAAGATCAGACACTGAAAACCCGAGGTGGTTTTGCATTTAAGCGCCCAACCCGGATCCACAGGAAAAGTGCCCCTGTGACTGCATAACAAGCATTTTCAGAGGACATGAAAATACATAGTTGAGTCTCTCTTGGATTAGAGGAGGGGGATAAATAGGTTTTGATTCCAGGGCAGACTATGGCAGAATGAGCACCATTTTTAGAAGACATGTATATTCTGGTCAGTTACAAATTAGAAATAAATAAACACATACACAAGTAAGATACAACAAACATTTGCACATTTCTTTCCCCACAGCACTGTAAAATTGTATCCATTTTCCAGAGGAGGAACTGAGGCTGCAAAGTTGCAGTACATACTGGTGCTCAGTATTCAGATGGAAACATGCCGGTTCAAGCACTCTGTGCACTAAGTGCACTAAGCAGTGAACATGAGATGTTTGGGGGAGGAAATGTTTGCTCACTCCTGAAGTGATTCTCTTACCATTGGCCATGCTCGCCACAGTTTCTGAGGTCCAAAACATCTGATGAGGCAATCTAGGCCTATCTGTTCTCCTTTCTATTTTCTCTGTGAGACAGACACAGAATGATGGGGGGAGGGATTGCCCAAGATAGAGGCATGAAATCTCAGTAAACTGGGGCCATGCCATAGCCCCAAAACAGAAAATCTCCCAAAGGGATGTGCCATCTATAGCAGACCTGGGCAAAGTGCAGCCCGAGGGCCATATACGGCCCGCGAGCCGCTCCTGTCCAGCCCATGGACAGTTTTGAACATCAAAATGCAGCAGCCAGACTCCTAAGTGGAGCGTGAAGATACCATCACATCTCTCCTATTCTGGCCGCACTGCATTGGCTGCCCATTCAGTTCCGCGTTGACTTCAAAGTTTTGACGCTCACGTTTAAAGCCCTAAACGGTTTAGGGCCTTGATACTTGGCGGAACAAGGCAGGCCTTCCCCCTTTCCAGCTAATACCTAATTATTCTTTTTTCCTTCTATTATAATATGCCCTGTTCTCGCCATCTTTGGGAAAAAAATTATTTTATCTTTTATTTATGCAAATTATGTTATGTTATGTGATATGTTATATGTTATATGTTTAATTTTTATAGTGTGTGTTGTAAGCCGCCTAGAGTGGTCACGATTGACTAGATAGGCGGGGTATAAATTAAATAAATAAATAAATAAATTTATAGCTTTTTGTCTAAAGTTGATCATTTGCTTATCTTTAACATACTGCCAAAAACTCTTTAGTATTTGTGATGATTAACAAGTTTAAAATAAAAACAATCATAACATCACTGTTTCATTTTATTTTTAAGTAAAGTTGGTTTGCCCCCGAACACAGCTCAGATTTTTCATATGGCCCCCTTATAGAAATTAATTGCCCAACCGTGATCTATAGCCATGTTTTTTATTTGACCACATAAAATAGTTAGGCTTGTCATAAGCCATATGCTTGGTCAGAGCCATAACTAGTCATTTGGTGGCCAGGGCTTCACTGCCCTAGGCCATGTAAGATCATCATTGGCATATGCAGGGAGAGAATCGAGGAATGGAGAGAAACACCTCTGGATTCACAAGCAATAGCCATATGTTGAGACCACATGTTTAATGTTTCCTTCTGCCCAGGAAGGAGCAGCTGGCGGTGGTACACATAATCAAGGTAGGTGGATCTTTGTCCTTCCAGCAGCAAACAGCAATATGCACATTTACATCTTTCCATCAGCAAATTTTTGCATCCTCTGAATTTTGGCACATGGGCCACAGCCCTAGTCACCCTGGCATAGTTACAGCTCTGTGTCTTGTGTACTTCTAGACAGAAAGATTCGAGCACTACCAGTCAAAATGCATTATGCACTTATCCTATCATTCGTTTCTTAAGTGATTTTGGGTGTGAGTGGTAAGACAAAAAATGTGATAGGAAAATATGACCGGATACAAGTGTGAGACAATGTAGTGTGGTTGCCCACCTTGCCCACCCTAAAATATTCTGTACATGAGAAAGAGAAACTTCATAATAAAGATCTCATTTGGAAGTACCATTGGTTATCTTGCCAGATCCTGGCTCCCCTGGGGATAAAACGACAGCACTTACAAAAATTAAGGTAGTCATGTTGGTCCATAAGAACAGAACCAAAATCTATGGTCTTATCATACCATTCTTGGAGTCAATCAAAATTCCTTCATAATGTGCTATATCTGAGCTCTCCAGAATTTTTCACCAAGCTAGGGGGTAAAAATATGGAGGGGGAAAACATGGAGGTCCAAACATTTCTTCAGTAATTTAAGCCATGGTTAAATTCAGGCCCGCAATGGAGGGTGCGGGCTTGATGAATCACTGATAGGTGTGCAGCTATTAGATGGCATCTAGCAGCTGTGGCATTTCCTGTATTTATTGAGGGATGTGATATGAAGATAGTAACATGGCCGTTTCATTCTCCCATCTGGCTTTGAACAGCTATTATTTTTTAAAAGTTCCACATGGTAGCTTGTAGCCGTAAAAACAACAGAGAGTCCAATGGAAACTTAGAGACAAACGTGTTTTATTTAACACAAGCTTTTGTGGCTCACAGGCCACTTAATTAAATCCTTTTTTTTCCCTTTAAGGTTGGGTATGAAAAGGAGAAGACACTCATTCACCATTGAGAGAGCATTCAATATAGGATTATACCACGGAGTGTTTTTCTTTTCTCCGTTTTAGTTCTAAAGCTTAGGACTATTAAGGATCCATGCACATAAGAGAATAAGACATGTCTTGCTTATTCAAATCAAAGATCCCTCTAATAAAGCACCCTGACCAGCCAGGTGCTTTGGGGCAGGGTCATGTTTACCAACAGGCAGTTGGTGAAGCAGATTTGGTGTGTCATAAAAGGACAAGAAATGATCAGTCACATGACTTCTTATTTTTTATTTTTACTATTGGAAATAGGTAGAAGTGTTCCTGAGATTATGTCCTCCATCTGCTGAAATAACATGTCTTGCTACTATGAGTGCTGCTGACTTGGAAGGTCTATCTGGATTTATCTAATTTCCTTTAAAAAAATAGAACTACATTCTTTGAATGCAGATTCATTCTACACACTGTAAATATGTATTTCTCCACTCCTTACCTCTCTGTCCTCAGTCTTTTGCCTGCATTTCATTGGGTTACTTTATGAAGTTTCGGTATTATGACCCAAGGAGAAAATAACCCCCCTTTTTTTCTCCCACCACCCTGTCTAATTTTATAAATTATGCAATTCACCTCCTTACCTCCCATTTCTTAAGCAAAATAGCCAAATGCCCAAACATTTCAGCTGTTCCTTGTAAGGACCATGTTCAGAGTTTAGGAAGCACAGAAGAATTAATATAATAAATCATAACTACCACAACTGCTTATTTATGGATGGTTCAAGCATACCATTATATTCCTTCTTCTTAAAGTAATTTTCTGAGCTATACATCCAGCCCTTATGAACTTTTACATGGAATGATACTGTGGTGGTTCTATGCATAACTGGGATTAGGTCCAAACTAGTAATTGCATCATTACCTTTTGAGTAATTGGGTTGAACAGTGTGTTTATATCTTAGCCACAAGCAACATTAAGGCTCTTTCACCTGCTCAAAGGGGTATCGCCATTTGAAAAAAGATTTTGTTCTAGCCAATGACATTATTCTGTGGCAGGCCTAATTATAATCGCTTTCTGAAACAAATTCTAAAGAAGAACTCCTGGAAACTGGCTCATATTAAGAAAAGAAACCAGAGTACAAGCTTACCCAATTCTTCTAACTCTGAAAACAAGGGCTTGTCTATATTTGTCCTTGCCCCCTGCTGTCTCTGCCCATTTCCAAGAAAAATATTTCATTTATTATTGTTGTTTTCTGAGTGGTATAGTACATTAGCACTGCCCTAAAAAGAAAAAAATTGTTCTTTGGAGCAGCCAGTGCTAAATGCATTTTACCAGTAATTAGACAGTGTTACTCATAGCACACCTCAAAAACCCACACAGAGAAAAGGTAGGGTGATTTATATTATTTTCTTAAACTTCCATTTTCTCTCCAAAGCAACATGAAGTTTTCATTTAAAAAAAATCATTTTCTAAGTGGTGCAGTATATCAGCAATGCCATATAACAGTTAAAAAAAATTAATTCCTCTGCCTTTTTCTGGAGCAGAGGAAATGCTTAATTACCCAATATTGGGAAATTGAAAGATGAAGGCAAAAACTGACAGCCAGAAGCTTGCTTTGGTTT